GGAAGAAGAAGACGAGAGAAAGACACGCTCCTTCGTGTTTTCTCTCGTACACGCGCGAAGGTCTATTTTTTTTCAATTTCCTAGGCTTAAATCATTTCCACTTTCGAGAATTATATTTTCTTAACTTTTGGCCTTTCCTAAGCTTTTTTGGCTTCTTTCTCTACATCCTTTTATCCTCTTCTTTCATGCTTTATCCTCTTTATTTGTTCCTTTTTTCTTGGTTCCCTTTACTTGTATATGAAGAAATTAACAATGTGCAGCTAAAGAGAGAAATTGAGATTGAGAATTTTTAGAGAAAATCAGAGAAGAGCTATGCTCTGTATATTGATACAACCGACTAGAATAGAAAGAAGAAGAAGCTACAGTATTTAACTAACTAACCACCTCAGGACAGCTGTACATCACTAACTAATACTACAGTTAAGATAAACTAACTAAGGTTAACTTGTCACGACCCGGGTTCCCACCATCGGGAGTCGAGATGGCGCCTACTATCGGAGCTAGGCAAGCCAAACCTTTTAAACATTCCCTGATTTCACCTCAACATGAACAATATAACTATAACGAGTCATTTAAATTAAAGTGGATGTCTTTAAAACATAGATAACTGAAAACCCAAAATGCGGAAGTTTAACTTTTCTCTACCCAAGACTGGTGTCGCTATCTCACGAACTACTAAAGAGTGCTACAAACAAGTCCGAATAGAAATACATGAATGTCTGTCTCGGTACAATGAAAACAAACTGAAAACATAGAAAGGGACTCCGGCCTGCGAACGCCAGCTAGGCTACCTCGTAAGTCCCTGGACTGAAGTCAGCTCCCGATCAATATCCTACTGCTGTGGTCCAAAAGCTGCTCCGGTACCGTGATCTGTGCAAAAGAGCACAGAAGTGTAGCATCAGCACAACCGACCCCATGTGCTGGTAAGTGCCTGGCCTAACCCCGGCGAAGTAGTGACGAGGCTAGACAGGACTACCAAACCAACCTGTACAGTTCAATATATATATATGCAATAAAAGGGAAGAATACAGAAATTAAACAGTTAAGAGGGAGGGAAGCATACTATGGGGGAGTACAGTCCGGATATAAAGTCAACAATTTAAGTAAGAAACAAGGCAATAACAATAATTAATGAGAGCAGGAAAATCAACAGTTGCACGGCATCAACCTTCGTGCTTTTACTCTCATTCTCACCAAAAGCAATCAAATAAAGTGCACGGCATCACCCTTCGTGCTTTCCCTCACATAGCACTCATATCATGGCACGGAATGATCCTTCGTGCAATTATAATCAAATCAGAGCACGGAATGTCCCTTCGTGCATAAATAATCAAAACATGGCACGGAATGATCCTTCGTGCAAATATAATCAAAACATGGCACGGAATGACCCTTCGTGCAAATATAATCAAAACATGGCACGGAATGACCCTTCGTGCAAATGTAATCAAAACATGGCACGGAATGGCCCTTCGTGCAATATCACTCTTCCTCACCCAAACAGTAGTCACAACCAAACGGGGCGAGGGGATAAACAAATAATAAGAAATGTCCCGGCAAGGGAATTACACAATTAACAGCTAAATCCCGGCAACGGAGCAACAACAATACTTTCACATCCCGGCAAGGGAGATAATCAATATACTCAAACCATCCCGGAAAGGGATAAATCATTTCTCTTTCTATTTCTTTCATTTCTTACTCAATAGTCTTTTTATCGTTCGAGCCAACGCTCCAAAGAATTTACGATTCATAATTAGTCCTCATACTCTTCACATTGCATAGAATTCATCAATTAACATGGAAGAGTCATAACATTATCAGGATAAATACATACAAGGACCCACGGTCATGCTAGACACCGGTGTATAGATACTCGTCACCATGCCTATACACCGTACTCAACATTTAGCAATTAGCAAACAACACTCTAATCCTATTTCCTCAAGCCAAAGTTAGATCAAACACTTACCTCAAATGCTCCAAAATCAACTCAAGCCTCTAGTATAGCTTTACCCCTCGAATTCGGCTCCAACTCAGTCAAATCTATGAAATAATGACTTTACAATATTAATAATAGCTAAACAAACTAAATCCAATGCCTAAATATGAATTTCTAAGCTTTCTACCCAAAATTCCAAAAATCGACCCCGGGCCCGCTTGGTCAAAACCCGAGGTTTGAACCAATTCCATGTCACCCATTCCCCCACGAGCCCGAATATACAATTTGTTTTCAACCCCAAAACGAGGTCTAAATCACAGAAAATTGAAAAGCCTTAATTCTACCCTTTTCCCCCAATTTACACCTTAAGTTATATGATTTAGGTCTAGGAATTTGATAAATGATGATAGAAAATGAAGAAAACGAGTTAGAAAATACTTACCCAAGAAGCTTTCGTGAAGAATCGCTCTAAAAGCCACCTAGGGGCTGTGGAGAAGAAGAGCTCGTGTGAAATTTGGGAATAATCCCGTCACTGGTCTGTTTTTGAGCTTTAAAAATCATTGGGCAAAAATGCCCTTCGCGTTCGCGGGAAGGGGGCCGCATTCGCGAAGGGTAGATGAGTCAAAGCATCGCGAACGCGAGATGCTAGTCGCGAACGCATAGAAGGATGGGGCTGGGTCCGGGATTTGCTTGTACGCGAACGCGAGATGGGGCTCGCGAACGCGGTGAAGGGGAAACCAAGGCTACGCGAACGCGGGGACTTGTCCGCGAACGCGAAGAAGGGAAAGCCCACTGGTACGCGAACGCGAGCTGAGTGGTGCGAACGCGAAGAAGCAATTATCTGAGCAAAAATTGCAGAAAAATCTGCTATCATTCTAAGTTTAAAAACACCCCGAACACCTCCGAAAACACTCCCGAGCCCTCGGGGCTCCTAACCAATCACACACACTAACTCAACAACATCCTACGAACTTAACCGTGCGAACAAAAATCGCCAAAATAACATCATAAACAAGGAATCAAACCTCAAAATCATCACTTTTTCATCAAACTTCACAAACTTCAAATTTTAGATATTTAGGTCCGAAACACGTCAAATGACGTCCGATTTCGACCAAATTCCACAGAAAGCGCTTAAACCATATATAAGACTTGTACCGGGTGGCGGAACCAAAATACGAGCCCGATACCATAGTCTTTTAATTAATTTTCATTTCCATTTTCCTTAATAATTTCAGAAAAACAATTTCACAGAAAAATTCTTTTCTCGGGCTCTAGATCTCGGATTTCGACTCCGGGCACATGCCCGAGTCCCATATTTTCCTACAGACCCTCTGGGACCGTCAAATCATGGGTTCGGGTCCGTTTACCAAAAATATTGACCGAAGTCAACTTTAATCATTTTAAAACTACATTTTGAAATTTTTCATAGAATTTAACATATAATCTTTCCCGCTACGCGCCCGGACTGCGCACGCAAATCGAGGCAAGTAAAAATAAGGTTTTCAAGGCCTCGGAAGCACGGGACGAAAGAGAAAACAGGTGATGACCCTTTGGGTCGTCACATAACTACTATGGTTAACCTATATACTTTACACACCCCCCCTCAAGCTAGTACTAGGAAAGATGTTGAGTAGACCTAGCTTGGACAGAAAATATGAGTGCTGAAGGCGACCAAGTCCCTTTGTGAGTATATCAGCTTCCTACTCAGTTGTAGGACAATAGAGAGTGGAAACAAGACTTGAATCTTTTCACGAATGAAATGACAATCAATATCAATGTGCTTCGTACGTTCACGAAATGCAGGATTGACAGCAATAGCAAGAGCTGATTTGCTATCACTGTAGATAGGCACAGGAGAATTATGATCCACTCCTAGCTCCTTGAGTAAACCAATAATCCATGTAATCTCTACAACAGTGGATGCTAAGCTGCGATATTCAGCTTCAGCTGAGCTTCTAGAGATAGTGGACTGCTTCTTAGATTTCCAAGAAATCAAGGAAGAGCCAAGCTTGACGAAATAACCTGTGATTGACTTTCGTGTGTTTGGGCATGCAGCCCAATCTGCATCACAAAATGCTGAAAGCGATTCAGAATACTTAGCAGCCAAGAAAACTCCCAGCCCAGGACTACTTTTGATATATCTAACCACCTTGAGTGCAGCTTCCATATGAGAGGCCTTAGGACTATGCATGAATTGGCTCAAACTTTGGACAACAAAAGAAATATCTGGTCTTGTAACAGTCAAATAAAGAAGCTTACCCAAAAGCCTTTGATACAGCCCTGGATCAGTCACTAATGTGTCATCAGAAGTACCTGTATGGGTGTGAAATTCAGCAATAGTAAGCTTCACATTTGGCTCCATAGGACAGGATACAGGTTTAGATCCTGAGAGCCCCAACTTAGCTATGAGTTCTAGGGCATACTTGCGTTGATGCATTAATATACCATCACTATTTCGTGCAAATTCTATGCCTAGGAAGTACTTAAGCTCTCCTAGGTCTTTGATCTTAAAGGAAGTTTGTAAATCATCCTTAGTCTGTTGGATCATGATGGGACTATCTGCAGTGATAAGAAGGTCATCAACATAGACCAGAACAACCACTATGTGATCTCCTGACCTTTTCATGAATAGAGAATAATCTAAATGACTCTGTTGAAATCCAACATCCACCAAGGCTGATGTGAGCTTGAGATTCCACTGTCTAGATGTCTGCTTAAGTCCATAGAGGGACTTAAGTAGTTTGCAAACTCTGAGTTCAGCCTTTGGTCCATTGAAACCTTGAGGTACCTCCATATACTCCTCCTCAGATAGATCTCCTTGCAAGAAAGCATTGTAGACATCCATTTGATGAATAGACCACTACCTTGAAGCTACAATAAACAACACACTTCTGACAGTAACCATTTTCACCATAGGTGAAAAGGTTTCTTGGTAGTCTAAGCCTTCTCTCTGATTATACCCTTTAGCCACCAATCGAGCTTTGAACCTTTCAACTTCTCCTGATGCCTTATATTTAATATTATAAACCCACTTGCATCCTATTGCCTTTTGTCCTTATGGCAAGGATACCAGTTCACAAGTCTTATTATCCTCCAATGCCTTGATTTCTGCCTGCATTGCCTCTACCCATCTCTTGTCCTTTACTGCCTCTGAATATGATGTAGGTTCTATCTCCACTGAAAAATTTGCCAAGTAGCTTTGATATTTTGAAGAAATAGCTTCATATCCAATCACCTCTGAAATAGGGTACTTTCAGCAACTTGCAGAGCTTTTCTTGTCATCTCTGACATAATGCTTAAGCCATATGGAGGCTTAGATACTTTTGTGGATTTTCTAGTTTCCTTACCATCAGGTAAAATAAGAGAATCACCAGGACTATCCACACTATTATATTCAACAGGGTGTGAAATGTCCTGCTCATTTGAGATAACCGGAGTTAGAGTAGGAGAACATGGCATATTAGTTCCCTCAATATGAGTATCAGCAGCAGAACTAACCACCACTGCATTTAGTTCTTCATCAAAATCTTGTCTTGGCACTGGAATTTTATCCAGGAATAATGATTCTGATGATACTTCTGCTGTATGAAAAGGAAATATATCCTCATAGAACACTACATCTCTGCTTATAAAAAATACTCTATTCTCCAAATCCAAGAGTCTGTAACCTTTCTGATGTGCAGCATATCCTAGGAAGACTGACTTCACAGCTCGAGGAGCAAATTTATCATGGCCTGTCAGATTAGTAGCAAAACATAGACATCTAACTACCTTTAAATGTGTCAATGAAGGGGGCTTACACAGAAGTAACTCATATGGTGATTTATGTCCCAAGACAGAGGAGGGAATTCTGTTGATTATATATACAGCAACATCAATACAATGTCCCCAATATCTAATAGGTAGGTGGCCTTGAAATCTGATTGCTCGGGTAGTCTCCAGTATATGTCTATGTCTCCTTTCCACAACCCCATTTTGTTGGGGAGTATATGGACAGGAGCTTTGACGAACAATCCCATGCATTTGAAACAAGTCACTACATGCACTGTTAAAAAACTCACTCCCATTGTCTGATCTAAACACCTTAATTTGCTTCCCAAACTGTGTTTTGATCATACTAATAAAGTTCTTGAGTAAGAAAATAACATCAAATTTAAGTCTCATAAGAAACACCCAAGTCCATCTGGTAAAATCATAAACCAATGTAAGAAAGTATTTAATGCCATTGTGAGTAGCAATCTTATAAGGTCCCCCCACACAATCATATGGATGAAATCAAAAGCATGTAAACTTCTACTAGTACTAGTTGGAAAAGGTTCTCTAGTTTGTCTAGCTAGAGGACAAATTTCACATTTAGACAGTGCGTCATTATTTATTCTACCACCATAATGTTGTATACTAGGAATTCTTCTGAGAACTTGAACTGGAACATGTCCTGTTCTTCTGTGCCATATTTCCATGCCTCCTTTACTAGTAGCTGCAAAAACTCTATTCACTGTCTTCCCTAATGCTGTTGATAATATGTACAGACCTTCTTCTTTTCTACCAATCTCCTTCACCCTCCCAGATAAGAGGTCCTGGAACATACAACATTTAGGGGAAAAAGTAACACTGCGTTTGAGATCTTCTGTCACTTTAGAGACTGACATGAGATTGAACTTAAAAGCTGGTACACAAACACATCTTTTAGTACATCACCTCCAGTGAGTTAACACTCCCTCATATGTGAGATTGATGCTGAATCTCCAGTAGGTAACTGCACTTGTCCTGAATTTCCTACTGAAGTTTCATTTTTCAGTAAACTCTTATCACCAATCATGTGGTTAGTAGCACCAGTATCAACTATCCATTTGCAAAGTTCTAAGTTCTCACATAAGGCTACATTACCACAAAAGCACTTACCTGCCATGTTTGCACTAGTTCCTGCAGTAGAACCTCTGTTCAGCAACTGCAACAACTGGTTATACTGTTCTTTAGTGAAAATTGAGCTGGTTCAACATTACTGCTTGGCTGATATATTCTTGTAGTTGGTGAAGCTATCATTCCTTGTTGTCCAGCTCCATCTATCATGACTGCATTTGCTTTGTTCTTCTGCTTGAAATCATATGGATATCCAATAATCTTGTAACAGTTCTCCTTCAAGTGCCCAGTCTTATTACAAAATTCACACCTCATCAATTTGTAACATTCATTTCTAGTATGGCCTTTCAAATGACAAAAATCACATTCTAAGCTATAGTTTATCCTTGGCTTAGATATAGATTGAGCAGTAAACAACGCAGTAGGATCATTATGCCCAGTTTGCCCATAGGTACCACCAGTAAATGATTTCCTTCTTTCTTCCTGAACTACCATAGCATAAGCCTTATCTATAGATGGCAAGCTTGGCATTAATAGAATCTGACACCTTGCTTGCTCAAAGTTATCATTCAATCCCATCAAAAATTGTAGCAGTCGTTGATACTCCAATTGACTCCTTGCATTACTATTGATTTCAAAATTGAACTAAAACTAATTATGCTATGCTATTATTCTGAAACAACTTAACAAATACAGAGTTTAAAAATCTGAAATAGTCCAAATTAATAGTCCAACTGTATCTATTACTCATACGACTCAAAACTACTAACTAACATCAATCACATTTATTCAACTAATCATCTATTGGATTGTAAACGACAAACAGCCTTCAAATGAGCCTAGATTTAGCAGTATTTTCATTTCAACTTCACTTCACGGCTACATCAAGGTGAGTTCATAAACGTGTACCTGGGATTTGAATTGAAATAGAAAAAGGAGAAGTTAGCAGCAGTAATAACTTCAGCAGCAACTCAGAAACCAATTTAAAACCCCAACAACAATCAATGAACGAGTAATAACAGCCCAGCGCAGATTCAGTAGTTCAGAAATGAGTTGAAAAACCAAGCAAACTCAATAAATCAGCCCACAACAACACCAGATAGCCAGAAATACCCAGGGAATCAATATACACAACGAATAACCCTCAATTGACCCTAATTAACTAACCAACAGTGCTCAAATGACTCCAAATACTTTCAGATTTCAAACGTCGAACAGAAACAGAGAATTCGAACTATTTTTGGTTTTGAAATGAACTAGAAGACTGAATTAAGGCTGGAATTTGGAAAATAACCTAAGGAAGGCAATGAAACAGTGTTGTTTTTGGATTTTTTTATTGTATTTTTCTGTTTTTTTTTTTTTGAATGCTGAATTTCAAAACTAGATCTGAGAACTAGGGAGAGCTTTTTGGGGGAAAATTTTTGAGCTCCCCAAAAACTTCTTCTTCAAGGCACTATTCATGCCTTTTTATAGGCCAAAGGAGGGGCAGCCCTCTCATTTTCTGTTTTCCCTATTAGTCCCTGTTTATTTTTCATTTAGTCCTTTGTTTTCTAACTTGTTACTCAAGTTACTGAAATCTAAACTAAAGCCCCTCCCTAGAAGGTTCTAGGTGACTCTAGTATTACCCACAACATTCTTATGCAACTCTAAATACCCAAACTACCCCTAAACTTCCCTGAAATTATTGACTAGCCTAACTGAGGTTCAACCTCTATTATTCCTGAAATTGGTTAACCTTACTAACTGTTTTTAACCCTTCTAATTGGCCATGGTTAATTAACTACCAACCCAGAACCCAATCAGCTATATCCAAACAAGTTTAACAACTTTAAAATATCAATATTACCAAACCATCGATCAAACAAGATTAACCAGTCAACCACTAAACTAACAACTAACACAAAATCAATTATTAGAACCTCAACTAATCCCAAACAAATTACAACCAAACGAGCTGATTATTATCATCAGAAGAAAGCAAATACACCGGCATTAACAGGAAATCTAATTAAACTAACAATTGATTGCTTGAACTAATTAGACTGACATTTAACATTTAAACTAACAGAACAAAACAACAATCAAACCAAAATTAAACTAAACTAAACGAAAATCAAATCAGTACTGAAATTAAACAAAAGCAACACTAATCAGAAAATTAAGAGAGGTATTCATTGTCTCAGTCAGAAGAAGAAGAAGGAACATGAAAAGACGAAAACGAAGACTCACGGCTTGACTCGAACATTCATACCGCTTCTTTGATTCAAAATTTGAGCGGTCTTGGTGATATTTGAAACTTGCCAAGGGTAGATTCTTCACAAGGAGGATGGGGAGACTGTGTACTACCAATTTGGTAAATTCTAGAGAAATTAGGGTTTTCGGCCAACCTTTGATTAATTATTTGAGACATTCTGGGCAGATTTGAGGGAAATTAGCCAGGGATTTGGATAGGGGAAGGGGAGAGGGACCTAGGGTGTTAATTTTGGCTAGTTTGGGAAAAGTGTTGTCCTGGCCGGAAAACTTAGATTGAAGATTCGAACCTTATGACCGGGATTTGAATAAAACTACGTTGGGGGTTGGAAAGAGGAGGGTGAGGGGTTCTATGGTGTATTTTTGGGTGGGAAAGGAGCATTGCCGCCGGCGGAGGCGATTTCCGGCCGGCGGCTCAAGGTGGCGTTACACAGGGTCTGGATTTGGGGGAAATGGAGACGGATGGATACCGGGGGGGGGGGGGAGGCTCTGACCGTTTAATATCAAACGATCCTAGGCTTCCTGGCCGTTGGATCAACTTAACCTAGACGGCTAGGATCTACTAGGATTCAATACGGGGTCGTTTCATTACAGCGAAGGGCAGGCCGGGTTTGGTGAGATGGATTTGGGCCAGGGATGATTTTTGGGCTGGGTAATTCAATTAAATGGCCCAAATTTGGTTTATTATTAAGACCACCTATTTTAATGGCTTTCTCCTTCTTTTTTATTTATTTTTGTTTTCATTTTGGTATTTTTGGATTTTTTTGATTTTATAAAAATGCAAAATAATTAAAGTAAAGACCTAATATATTTTCAAAGTTAAGCTAATTAATTTCTAAAATTGTTTAAAATCCATTTCGTGACAAATTCAACAATTAACAATTAAAGATGCAAAAGTAGACTGTTTTTGTTATTTTCTTCATATTTTGTTCTAAAACCACTTAACCACTAATTGATCCTAAAATATGAAATTAGATCCTAAATGCAAATGTCAAGCTTATTTTTATATTTTCATATGAATAAAAATGCACAAATAAAATGCAAATAATTATTAGAAAATAACACAAAAATTGTAAAAATAAAGAAAAAAAATCCTTTTGTTTGAATTTTTGGGAATAATTCACTTAGGGCAAAAATCACGTGCTCACAGCTGCCCCTCTTTTCCCGGAAACACGAAGAGTTTTCGTGCAAAGATAAGTGAGCGGAAACGAGCGATTTTTGCCCGTTCGAATATTCCGTGTGAAGCATTTTTGAAAGATTTGACCGCACCCTGCTTCTGAGGTTGCCTACATATCCTTGGCTAAAAAGGAATCAGGTCAGTATAGTTCGGGAAGGTTTCGTAGCTGGGACTACCAGGAACTGTGATTTCACTGCTGTTGCTGCTGCTACTGCTCACTGACCTCCTTATTACACCGTGTCAAAATAAAAAGAAGCTAGCCTAAGCTATGATCTATGAATTACAAGAAGGTCCTATCTATGTCTTCAAACTTGCTCTTGTGTTGCCTTGAACTTGTATTCTTCCGATGGAATCCTTGCGTTGTTGCCTTGAATTGTGATCGGAGATGTTTGAAATATATGCCTCTATTCTCCAGGCGGGCTCCTGATTGCTGACGCTTGGAAAGTATTCCCTTGTTCTCCAGGTGGGCTCCTGACTGCAACAGAACAAACAAAGAAAATTTTCTGCCCCAGTTTGGTGGCTGGGTACAGCATGTTATCAAATATTAAAACATGAAAGATAAAATTTGCATTGTACTTCCCTTGTTCTCTAGGTGGGCGCCTGACTTCTGAACTTGAAACGTATTCCCTTGTTCTCCAGGTGGGCGCCTGACTGCTGAGCTTTGAAAAGTATTCCCTTGTTGTCCAGGTGGGCGCCTGACTTCTGAACTTTGAAATGTATTCCCTTGTTCTCCAGGTGGGCGCTTGACTTCAACAAAATACACATAAAACAAAGAAAATTTTCTTCCCCAGTTTGCACTAGGAAGATTTGTGAGTTGTTAGCAAAATATAGATCACCTAAGCTATTGATGCAATGATAAAAGTAAAACTAAAGACTTGATTGGAATGTATGTCTCATGTGAGTAAAACCAAAGACATTTGACTAGCAAATTCATCAGACTAGGTCTTCTATCTTAGGAGAAAGATTCATCAGACTAAGATTTTAGATCCTAGGAGAAAATTCATCAGACTAGGTTGTCTATCTTAGGAGAACAATTCATTAGACTAAGATTTTCTATCTTAGGAGAAAGATTCATCAGACTAAGATTTAGATCCTAGGAGAAAATTCATCAGACTAGGTTGTCTATCTTAGGAGAACAATTCATCAGACTAAGATTTTCTATCTTAGGAGAAAGATTCATCAGACTAAGATTTTGATCCTAGGAGAAGATTCATCAGACTAGGTCTTCTATCTTGGGAGACAGATTCATCAGACTAAGATTTAGATCCCAGGAGAAGGTTCGTCAGACTAGATCTCTTATCTTAGGAGAGCAATGCATCAGAACAAGAATTTGATCCTAGAAGAAAATTCATCAGACTAGGTTATCTATCTTAGGAGAATAATTCATCAGACTAAGATTTTGATCCTAGGAGAAAGTTCATCAGACTAGGTTATCTATCTTAGGAGAACAATTCATCAGACTAAGATTTAGATCCTAGGAGAAAATTCATCAGACTAGGTCCCTTTTTGTTATCTTAGGAGGAAAGTTCATCAGACTAAGATTTCTATTTGGAGAAAAAAATCCATCAGACTAGGACGTTTTATCCTAGGAGGAAAAAATGTGAAAAGCAATGGCAGCATTTTATGCACGCTAACAAGACGGGCAATGGCGAAGATTTGAGAAACTTCCCTTTTGTCGGCTCTCCTCTTCTTCCTTTTCTTTTCTTTCTTTTTCTTTTTTCTTATTGTTGAACCACCTTTCTTGCACTGCGTTATTCCTGTTTCAAACAAAGAAAACTTGTGAGTTTAAAATGTGGTGGTTAGTTTGTGGCCTTGAACTTTGAGGGCGGCTGCTTCTGCATTTGCCAAGATGACTGATTTCCACCCAAAGACCTTGCTTGTTCCCAATATCCTTTACTTGTTTCATTGCATGACTTGGCATTCTCCCAACCCTTATGTCTCATATGAATCCCAGAGCACGTCTATTGCTCCTACTTCGTGTACATGATGTTCTTTCTTGATTTAACCACTGGCCTCGGCCTTGAAGTTTATTGTTCCTTCACCCGCCTTGATAACTGATTCTCACTTGGAGACCTTGCTAACCACTTTCTTTGTTACCCTTGACGCAGAAAATACCTCTGATCCGTTCACCAAACACCCTCCATCTGATATG